TCTCAGCAGGGCCATTAGGAGGGGCTGTTGCAAGTTCCATGGTGAGCTGAAGTTCAGAGAACTTGGGGAAGGAGGGAACCCTGTGTAAAGTTTGCTCATGTCAAGTTACAATCGTTTTGTCCAGACTGGTCAGTGGAAAGAAATAGTTAAGCTAATCATCTATCAGACAAAGACAGGAATTTGGAGGGTCTGAATCTGGTCTTGTCAAAGGTAAACAGAAGGGTCATCTCTGAGTCAGAGGTGGGTGTTGTGGGGAAGGGTGATTCTTTGCATTAAGAGATTTTGGGGGACATAGGGGCACCTGGCTGGCTTAGTCGGTTAAGCATCTGCCTGGGGCTCAGGTCATGATCCGGGGGTCCTAGGATCAAGCCCCCACATCAGACTCCCTGCTCAGTGTGAGTCTGCTTCTCTCTCTGCCCCTCACCCCGCTCATGCACACTCTCTCGCACTCTTCCTCAAATAAATAAAATCTTTTTTTTTTAATTAAAAAGAGATTTGGAGGAACCTAAAAGGGGGCCAAGGGGATTTCTTGGCCGTTGTATTTCTGTCTGTACTGTTTGTGCAGGAGCACAAGGCTTAGGTAAAGTCTAACGCTGTCAAATGTCACCATTATCATTGTTTTTCTAGTGTCTGGTTAGTCATTCAAAATACAGTATCTTTTGGCAAATTGCTTAGTGTTTCAGAGCTTCAGTTTTCTCATCAGCAAAATGGGGTAATTAGAATAACAACTAGTTCACTAAGATGCTGGGAAGCTTGAATGACCTAATGATCATACAAGTGCCTCAGAGCTGTAAATATTGTAGAAATGTTATTTGTTATTTCCTATTATCACTATTAGTGGTTCCATGGGCTCTGTTGCCACGTCTTTGTTGTTGTCTTTCTCTTCTTCCACTTCCATAAGGATAAATATCACCTGATGCAGTAAAGGGAGGAAAGGTGTCAGGCAGCTATAAAAATGAATATTAGGTGCCAGACACAGGGATACTCAATACACAAGAATAAAATCCCTAGATTGTGTGCCTAATCTCCACAGTTCACAGGTGATGGAAGGAAATGGTACAGATTCAGAGGTGTCAGTCTTGCCTCTGTTTCTCACCAGGTATACAGAACATGAACTGGTCATGTGAAGTTAAAACAGCCCACTTGTATCACAGGAACATGGAAGAAGAATAGAGAAAGGGGCACCTCTGTTGCCGATGCCTGTGAATAATTGATTTTATTTTATTCTGGAAGCAATGAGATTGTTCTCCTATATAGTTTTTCTTGAAAAAGGCAAAGAAAATGATAGAGAGGGGGAGAAAGAGAGAGAGATCGAGAGAGAGAGAGAGAGATCCAAGCCATCAAGCCCATATTGTAAGTTGGCTGCCAGCTATGTTTTTTTTTTTTTTTAAATAAAATAAAAATGTTCGGTTGTAGTTTTTTTTTTTTTCTCCTTTTGGAGAGATACAGGAATTGCAAAGAGAGTGCCAGACAGCACTAGCATATGCTTATTTTTCTAACTCAATGTGGGCAGCCTCTCTTAAACATTTTGTATAAATATATTTATTCTCCCACTGAGACCCTGCCTGCCAGGTTCAGGAACAACGGAGTAAGCAGATGAGTTATAAACCGAGGAAAGAAAAGGAAGGATTGCCATGGAAATGCTGATGGCCCCTTTATTCCAGCGGAGTACATTGCCCCAGTGTAATAAATTAGTAGTTGATGCGTTGATGATAAATCTATCGTGGTCGTCATATTCAAAGTAAAAGATATTTCACTCCGTCTTTGCCGGAGATGTAGTCAGAAAGGAAGGAAATGTTGACATCCGGTGGGCAGGATTGAAAAAAAAACACACATACAAAAACCCTTTGGTGCGCAACCCACATTTGCAAGCTGTCTGCATTTCTTGTATTGGCCTCAGCTTTGACAAATGTAAAAAAGTCACTAATATTTTGACACTCTCCCTGCCCAAGTCTGATACCAGCTGGCTGCGAAGCCACATACTCATTGTTCTGCTGGATTTTAAAGACTGGGTTCCAGCCAAAGGACTGGACTGGATCCATTCATTCATTTTCAAGATTGAAGTTGCAGCTTAACTGTAATGACCATTTCTCAACTCAATCTGGAAACCTCTTCCAAACCCAACAGATGCCTGAGAGGCAAATGTGCATTTGGATTGGAAACCACTCTCTTGGATAAAGAAACAAAAGGTGATCTTTGAATCTGAAAGTAATTCCTTGTTTTGAAAGCAATTAATATTCTGTATATTGATTATGTCTTAAGGTTGCATTTTTAAAAAGTTCTCATGCTTTTAGAACCTTTGTAAAAATGCTTATTTTACCGCTTTAAGTGAAAATGAAGATTTAAATTGCAAATAGAATATGACAACAATTATGGAAAAATATGCCCGGAAAAAAAAAATTGGAAGAAAACACCCAAAATGTCAAAAACGTTAACAGGGAAGATCTTTAAGGTTATGGTGAGGTTCTTTCTTTCTTTCTTTCTTTCTTTCTTTCTTTCTTTCTTTTTCTTTCTGCTTTGATGTAGTTTTCTTCTATAATAAGTTTTACATTTGTATATGGGGGGGGAAGAAAAACTATTTGTTCCTTTGAAAACATGCTCTCTTTCTTTTACCCTTATTGTATTTTCAACTCTGGTGACCATATTGTTCTAGTAATCATAAGCAACTATTGCTAAAATATGCTCCCGCCACGGAAAATAAAACCACTCTATAATCTACAAAAAATATCTTTGCTTTCTACTTCTAAAAAAATGCTCCCCTGCTGTGTGTTCCTGCTGTCCCATTTTTCCAGTCACTTAATAATTAGAGACATTAACCCTGATCACTTGCAAATTTTCCATTTAAATTTATTTTCAGGTAAGCAGATGCTTGGGAAAATTGCCATCATAGGGCTGTAGGAGAAAGGGAGTTATAGGTTGATCCTGAAGTCATCTGAGGGGATTATTCCCCAGGCATGATGAGATGCCTATACTATTAGTGTCAGAGTACTCTTCAAGAAATCATTTGTAGCATTTTGATATAAATATAATTCGTTGTGTCCTTCTATGTGCCAGATACTGTTAGAAGGACTTAAACACACCATTTCATGTAGCCTCAGACAGCTATATAAACTCTATACCTTCTTCATATACACTTCAACAGAGGAAACTGATACCTGGACGGATTAAAATTTGGAACTACATCGGTTTGATTCCTGCCTTTGTGTTGCTCACGCATAAACTTAGGTTCTCATCAGATAGACTTGCCTTTTGAACTCTGCACTTGCCCTTAAAACCTGGTGGCTTCAGCCAATCACTGTATCTCTTTAAGTTCCAGTTTTCCCATCAGTACAATGGGTATAATAAAGTTGAGAACATAGGCCAGCCATAAGAAATAAATTAGTTAATGCCATCGACATTAATTGGAGGAAAAAAAAAAACCCTCTGATTCCAGGGCATCTCTTCCAAGTAAAATCTACTGAAAATGAACACAGAGATAGGCATCTTTGGAAACGTTTCTCTATCCTGCCTGTACAAATTTGACAGCATTTCTCCACAGCCTGTAGCCGTATTCAACCCTCTGGCTTGCACAGCACTGATTAAAAAACAGATTGCCGGCAGTCATCTGTGATTGCCTACCACGGAGGTGCTGCTCATCTCTTCCTCCACCCACTGTCCTATGCACTATTCATGAGTTCTACAATATTCCAAACTTTAATTTCCACAGATTAATTCTTACTAATTATGCACCATGCGAACCTTTGCCGGAGAATTCTAGTGGATGCTCTTCCATCCTGAGGCAGGGAAGGGCAATGTCGAATCGTTTTCTTATTTCAAGTGGAAAACAAACTAATTATGTGGAAATATGATAATAGATTACGCTGCAGGGACCAGTCCTCTGCAGGCTTCAAAATGTTTGCTTATGATCGGCTCCTCGTGTTATTTCTTCCAGGAGGAGCTGCCCTTTCATAATGCATCAACATTATTGACTGGCCTGTGATTCCATACTTGGAGTTACGATAATTTGCATAATTGTATATTACTTCCGTCTGGTGGAAACAAACAAGATGTTCGAGTGCTAATGATCAAGCAGGCAGCAGTGGCTGCTGGGAAAAATAGCATTAGTAAAGTCCAAAAAAACAACAAATAGCAGTCTGTCTCAAACGTCTTTCACTACCTTCCTTTGACGTAGCTCTCTACTCCACATGGCCACAGGCATTGTTATTTTTATGTCTGTTCAAGTTTAGGAGGTGGCCTGGACTAGGCATTTATTCCAAATCTGTAAAAATATAAAGCATCCTTAGGCTGTGAATTTTCATACTTGTTTGTATTTGTTTAGGTCATTTCTTCTGCTTGGAATGTCTTCCTTCTCTCTGGCAAAAGCATCTTATCCTTCAAAATCCAGCTCAAATGCTCTTTCCTTTTGATATCCTCCAACTTTCCCAGTTAGCATGCAATGTTCTCAAAATAAACAAATATCAAATGAGCACAGTAGGCTCTCAGCAAATTCATTCTCATTCATCTGCTTAACAGACTCTGATCTGTACAACTTGCTGGCTCTGCTCTAGGAACTCAAGACAAAGTGAACAAATAAGAAGAAGTAAATCTTTTCTTTGATTTCTTCAATGCTCCTCTTCTCTGTAGCAATTCATTATCTCTATTTAGCAATTATTTATTTTGCCTTGTAGTACACTTGATGGACAGGGTCATAGCTTACTTACCTGTTTAACTCCATAACCAGGCACACAGTAAGACCTAAGTAAATGTTTGTGAATAGACTTGAAGTTTCAAGAGAGTGGATCATGCAAACTGTTTGATGAATGACATCAGGAATACAGATGGGGTACCTTACTTGCCAGCTCTACATGATTTGTAGTGGCTGTGTGAAATACTGTGAAAAGAATTTTGAGGCTGCGTGTGCTTACCAGAAATATTTTCTGTGATTGATTAATCATGTCTGCAGTGGAAATACTAAGGAGGAGTAGAAAGTAACATATCATGTATTTGCATTCTTGTTATAGATATTTAACCTCGGACATCTTTAAGAGCCTCGATGTGTGTTTCCTGGTTGGAGCTAATGAATTTATCAGGTTGCTTACAGTTCAACGGTTAAACAGGTAATGATCTACCAAGAAGATTGCAATATTGTGGCTTTGAGCATTAAACCCTGGAAATGAAGCCTTTTAATTTACTTTTAAGGAAGTAATATCTGCCATTATTGGGCTAGGCACTATCGATATATTATCCCATTTAATTTGTCCTAGCAACTGTGCACATTAGGTCATTTTAATTCCATTTTACAGATGTAGAAACTGAAGCTCAGAAATGTGGTCAGGATAAAAAGGTCACGAATGACAAATCCAAAATTCAATTCAATTTATCTGACTCTTTTAGTTTTGTTGACTGTTTCTTTTGCTGTGCAGGAGCTTTTTATCCTGATTAAGTCCCAATAGTTCACTTTTGCTTTTGTTTCCTTTGCCTGCATAGATGTATCTTGCAAAATGTTACTGTGGGCGAGTTCAAAAAGGGTGTTGCCTGTGTTCTCTTCTAGGATTTTGATGGAATCTTGTCTCACATTTAGATCTTTCATCCATTTTGAGTTTATCTTTCTGTCTGGTATAAGAGAATGGTCTAGTTTCATTGTTCTGCACATGGCTGTCCAATTTTCCCAGCACCATTTATTGAAGAGACTGTCCTTTTTCTAGTGGATATTCTTTCCTGCTTTGTCGAATATTAGTTGACCATAGAGTTGAGGGCCCATTTCTGAGTTCTCTATTCTGTTTCATTGATCTATGTGTCTTTTTTTGTGCCAGTACCACACTGTCTTGATGATCACAGCTTTGTAGTACAACTTAAAATCTGACATTTTGATGCCCCTGGCTTTGCAATTGCACTGCTGGGTATTTACCCCAAAGATACAGATGCAATGAAATGCCAGGACACCTGCACCCCAATATTTATAGCAGCAATGTCCACAATAGCCAAACTGTGGAAAGAGCCTCAGTGTCTATCGAAAGATGCATGGATAAAGAAGATATGGTCTGTATACACAATGGAATATTCCTCAGCCATTAGAAAGAACTAATATCCACCATTTGCTCCAACATGGATGGAACTGGAGGGTATTATGCTGAGTGAAATAAGTCAATCCGAGAAGGACAAACATCATATGGGGAATATAAGAAATATTGAAAGGGAATAAAGGGGAAAGGAGAGAAAATGAGTGAGAAATATCAGAGAGGGAGACAGAACATGAGAGACTCCTAACTCTGGGAAACAAACAAGGGGTAGTGGAAGGGGAGGTGGGTGGGGGGATGGCGGGACTGGGTGATGGGTACTGAGGGGGGCACTGGACGGGATGAGCACTGGGTGTTATACTATATGTTGGCAAATCAAACTTCAATAAAAAAAAATTATCCTGACTCTACAGTTCATGCTTAAAAAACAAACAAACAAAAAACTGTCCTCAACACAAACTGTCATTTAATTCTAGTGTATAGCATACTGTTTTGCACTTCTGAGAAAGGAGCCCCTTTGACCTAGCAGATAATAAGCCAAACAAATGTGAGATAGCCCAATGATTGTGGTCTTGGTGGGTATTAAAGGATCAGGGACCTTGTGTGAGGGTGTGTGTGTGCAGACAGATTGAAGGGGAAAGTGGCTTCAAATGGAGAGGTTGAATATGAAAGATAACTTCTTTTGTTGAGTGAATTTTGCATGCCGGGCATTGGTTACATGCTGAGCAATTTTCTTGAAGATCTTTTAGGATGAACATTACTAGCTCCATTTCTCAGAATAAGAAAATATAGGTTCGTTAACTACATCGAGAAAGAAGGGTATTGTTTATTCTATGTGTCGAATATTGTATCCCTAATTCAATATTGCGTCTTCTTCCTGGCACAAGTTACAGTCTAAATAAACAAATAAATACATAGAAATATGTTTTTGTGATGGTTATTAAGAAGTAAAACAGACTTTAAATCTGACTCTGTTCAACTCGAAAGCCTGAGCCATTTCTCTCATGCCAAGCCGCCCTTGGGAAGTTGAAAATGTGCTTAAGACTTTGAAACCAGTTCCATTTTTCAAGGATAACTTCTTATACAGCTGCCTTAATGCAGCTGGTCCTTTGGAAAAAAATTGTTTATAAGAAGGCTTGGCAGGTTTCTTGGACATTAAATATCTCCTACAAAATAATATTTTGATGGATTACATGTAAATGAATCAGAAACATATGGCTTCCATTTCCTTTAGAATGCACACACGGAATGTTTTTATGTGTTTGGCAAAATGGATTTTCCTGAATGGCACCTCCAAGTGCCCCTCCCCTCTCATCTCTCGGTGTATTATATCCAAAAGGACTGGAAGTTCTTCTAAGAATCCCACAAAAACCTGAAGCCTTCTATCTCTGCTTCTGACTCCACAATCCTATCGAGGTCATTTTCTCTTTTATTCCCAACAACAAAGGCAGCTGCTATTCAGCACCGCACAGTAGTAGCCTGCCTGGGGCTGCTCTAGAACATGAGTCTCTCATCCTAATAGATAACCATCTACCTTATCTTGGGAATGCTGAACACAAAGTCAATGCAAGGAAAAGAGACTCCCTCTTCATGTACACAAAGTTAGGTCATGTAAACTTTATCATATGAATATATATATACATATATATTGAGACTTTTTAAGAAAGAGACTTTGTGCCTAGAGGATTTCATCTTTAAAAAAACCCACTGGACTGGACACAATCAGATATTTGTTTAGAACAGATAAAAGCTATTATGTAGCCTGTGGAGCGTGAAATGCACCCATCATGACTTCATAGCAAGATTAGTAACCGCAACATAGATACAGGTGTATAGTTGCACAACAGACTGATAACCACTTGGACCACAAAGAAAGTCAGGGGTGCCTAATCAGGATTTTGAAGAGCTTTTTTATATCCACTCTCAAAAGCTAGCATCTAAATTACAATGGTTGACTTTAATATTCAGCTTAGATCAATGACAAAGTAAGGCGTCTATAGTTAGTGATTTATTATTATAAAAGAGTTATTGTAACATTAATTTGCCTGTATGTTGGAGGGAACAGAGCCAAGACAGGAAATATGATCCTATTCAAATTACAAAAGCAGTAACTTCAAAAGAAAATAAAATGTGTGGGTTTCACCTGAATCTAAAGATATCACAAACTCATGTGCCTCAGGGATCAAGGTAAATGAGGGAACATGGTTAGGATGAAGGTTGATCAGGTTTGTTGGGGGCTGTGAGAAGCAGGAGTGAGCACAGTCCCCCTGTGGCATACTCAGATTCAAAATGTTTATATTATTAGCTGCAGATAAATCTTTGAATCACAGAAATAGATACATCTTCATACATTGGTTTTTAACCTTTGTGATCAGTCATTTCTGAGCAAACCTATTTCTCTTACATTTGCAAACGTTCCCTCTCGTTTCCACCTTCATCTACTTCCTCCCACCTGTCTTGATATGCAAATGGGATACCTGAATTGGCAGTAGGGAGTTGGCCTGACTTCACTGGAGAAAATCTGCCAGTAGTAAAGTTTTGCCAGATTCACTTTCTACCCTCTTTCCTTTTCTTGCTCCTTATCTTTTTCTTCTCTCATATAATTCCTGTTTTCATAAAAAGAACCTGATTCTGTTGAAAGCGATGTGATTTATACTCCAAAAAGGGACTTTAGATTGGAAGTAAGAGAGTCCAGAGTCATGTTTTCAGGTTGATAGGCAAAGCTAGAGTGTAAAAGAGAGCAGGAGAAAAGGTCAGTAATAATGGAAGTGAATTAAAAGAGCAGGGGATGCTTGAATAAAGTAAATTTAATAAAAATAATATATTTGTAGCTGTTTGCTTAGGTTATTTTCAATTTATTATAAATCCACATCAGATCGGTTGCCACATATTCTCTGTAGCATTTATCTGGAAAAGTACCACATCCTGTCTCATAGAATTGCCTCATACAGAGGCTGAGATCACTGGCTTTGGAGTCATGTATCTTTGTTCAGATCCTGGATCCCTGGATTTTTCTAAGGTTATGTTGTTTATTACATCGGAGCATGTTACTTGGTATTCATTCAAAAAATTTATTGAATAGTTATTTTGTGCACATTAGATTTTACAAAGCACCTTTACATCCTTTGTCCCCTGTATCCTAAAAATACTCTTGTAGGACAGGAAGGGAAAAGATAAGTAATGTCATTGTTCCCATTTGAGAAATGTGAACACAGAGGCCCATAGCATTGCTTCAGGTCACAAAGCTAGTAAGGGGCAGAGTTGAGACTAGAAATCCATACCTCCTAATTCTTAGATTACTATTTCACCCTATATGATATTTCAATAAAACACTGGATTAAAAAATGTAAATGAGCCTGCTGATCCAGTAAAATGAAGGAATTTGAGGGTATGTAAAATAGTGAAAATAATTTTTGTCTGGAATATGGTTCATCATTTTTGTCAGAAGAAAAACACATATCCGTACAACATTTTCCAGAGAACTGCACTGTGGAATCAGCAATCAGAAAGCAAGCTCAGTTATAGATACTGTGATTCATTGCACTTGGAATGAATTAAGCTCACAGTAATAAAACAGTCCTATGATAATAAAATTATCTGCAAAAGGCATTGGACTGAATGTTTGTATCTCCCTAAGAATTATTTTTTTAATTTTTTTTAAGATTTTATTTATTTATTGATGAGAGACACACACACAGAGAGAGAGAGACAGAGACACAGGCAGAGGGAGAAGCAGGCTCCATGCACCGGGAGCCCGACATGTGATTCGATCCCGGGTCTCCAGGATCGCGCCCTGGGCCGAAGGCAGGCGCCAAACCGCTGCGCCACCCAGGGATCCCTCTCCCTAAGAATTATATGTTGCCCTAACCCCCAATGTGATGGTAATCATAGGTGGAACCTTTGGGAGGTACTTAGGTTTAGATGAGTAATGAGGATGGCACTCCCATGGTGGGAATAATGCCCTTATAAGGAGCAGAAGAGACAGCAGAGCTTCCTTTGTCCACCTTATGAAGATACAGGGAGAAGGCAGTCATCTGCAAGTCAAGAATACAGCCTTCACCAAGAATTGAATCTGTCATAATTTTGATCTTCAACTTCCC